GAACCTAGAATCTAGCTATCTAAATCTAACTTCGAATTGAAATCAGAGCATTTCTTCGAGTGAGACAAGTTTCAAGTAACGACTATTAATACGGGCCTCAGTGTGCAAAGTGCGATGAGATGTCTGAAGTGCACTTGAGATTCAACTGGCTAAAATCTCGTCGCTTCAATTGGTAAAATCGGCGTACTGATGTATCGCTTCCTCGGGGAACGTCGGTTTTTTTCTTTGAGTCCCGATACAACTGTTGATTGTCGTGCACGCGAGTCGCTTTCCTCGAGGTGTAAGCCAATCACCTTGCCCTAGAAGCGTTCGTCCACACGGTCTCGCTTGCTTAAACTCCGCTTATAGAGTAACACTAGGAGCTCACGGCGAATTCGTGATAGAATTACCGCGGCTACATTCCGCGATTCTGTAACGAGATCTGACAGAAGCCTCTCGGTGTCGTTCTGCTACTGTTGCTGTTACTGCTGCTGCTACTGTTCTGTTGTTGCTGTCGATCAATCAGCAGTCCGCAGCGATATCGAACAGGATTATGTCGTCGATGTTGCAAAATCGATCTCCGGCCTCGGTTCTCTCTCGCGCGCATGATAATTATGAATATGTTATAAATATGAGAGCGGAGTGATTGTATAGAGCGACTAGGAGAGAGAGACACGCAAAGCCAAGGAGGCCCTGAACGCTGCACCCGTTATTCGCCTTCGGAGGCTCGCCGCACTCGTTGCTCTCCTTCGTCCCATGCGACTCGCGTATGTGCATCCACGTATCTACGCGCCCCTCCCCCACACATACCGCGAGTGTGCTAATTGTTATTCTCTAAATTTCTTGGAGGGTAATTTCAAAATAGAGAGACCAACGAGTCACTCGAATTCGAGGGACTCTTCATTCGTAAAGAGTGAATTCTTTCCATTCTGAATCGTCGAATGAACATTTTCAATTTAAAGAATGAGTCTGACGTGCTCCTTCATCAGAAGAACATACTGATGCAACAGTTCATATAGATGTTTGTTGAGCGATTTTTCTGAAAACAGACAAAATAAGTGATCTACATTTCTTATTAAAAAGCTACAAATATTCAATTGATTCTCCAGAAAAGTCTTGTTATTAGTATTATTGGTACATGGGGAAAATATAGTTTCTCTTTATACTTTTCACAAGTTTTTCTCTATTTTACTAGATTTCTACACTATCAGAGAAAAAACGTCTAAAAAATAAAGAAATATTTATTCGATGGACACTAATAACGTATTTCCTTAAATCTAAATTCTTTTACTTAAGTCGAATAAGCAATTGCTTTCATGAAAAAAGTTGTAAGAAAATGTACTTTTTTTATTTGGAAAATATTTTCTATGTTAAGTATAAATAAGTATGTTAGTATCTATCGAATAACGTGAGTTATAATTCACTCTAGAATGTTTGAGTGAAACATTCACTCTTGTAATTTCGTGTGGCAACAGTTTTATTGTCGCTTCGAGTGTAGATACTGCCATTCTTTACTCGTTTTGAGTGAAATTCCACTCCAAGAAATTTAGAGAATGCATATAAATATCTGATCGTTCTATTCTATTGACATGTCTAGCACGAGCTATCTCGGATCTCCGATCAGAAGAATCGTCATAAATATAGACGTCATAAATTTAGACGCGTTATTAATATAGTACACCATCTACTCTATCCCCGGAGATTTTACGAACTTCTCCTTCGGCTTACACTCGCGAGTTACTCGCTCAGCATACGTACTTTTCTACCTGCTCCTTAGTCGCGTTTTTGCGTCGAGCCGGGGAAATCGCCGTGTTGCGATGCTCCGTTACGTTTTTTCGTGACTTTATGCGAGAATTTGAAAAAACGTTGCGACTAGTTGTTGGCATGTGAAAGGAAACATCCAAAGATCATTCCTCCTGTGGAGGAAGATCTTTCGGGACAACGGAAGGGATTCGCCTGAATAGTAAACTAGAGCTTGCATTATGCACTCGAAAATCGCGTCATAGTTTGCCGTAGTTAAGGACTTTGTCCTTAATTGATATTGTCTTAATTGATATTGAAGCGCGGTTGTAAATTATGAAAAGTTGTAAATTCGATCGTCAGTGATCCCAATCGGTAGTCAGATCCGCTTGAGCGCTTCATCTCGGACGACAGCGGGCGTAGCGAACTGAGTTATGCGAGCGTAATTTTAATGCTAGACTAATGATCAGCCTTGGACACGTTATCTACGGGACATTACGTCGTATTAGCATTGTAATTGCCTGACGCTCGCTCCGCTGAAGGTATTAGAAACGCTTGTTCGCATCATAAATAAACAGGATAAACTAGAATTTTCGATGGCATTACCAAGGAACTAGCATGCAATGCGTAAGGTAACATTATAGTTTGTTAACTTAAATTCTTTTCAATTTTACTGTGTTTCCAGTAGTGCAGGAACATAACTGTCAGTAGAGTATCTCATTAAAGAACACAACAAATGTTTTAATAGCACATACCAGTTCTTAAAATTAAAATGAGGAGATAAATTAGCAGAGTTGATCTCGATTATTAAGTTCTAAATAATTTTTAAGTAATTTTTTCTATGTAATTTTTCCTATACCTGGACACGCACCTAACTCTGAATATTTATTGTTTCGGTTTAATTACGAATATCTAAACTTTTGACATAGAGAGAATATATACATATATTGAATATACATGTATTCCATGTTGAAAGTGTAAATATTAATTTTGCATTAATAATGGCTGTTATAGATCAGGATTTTGTTTACCGTAATCATGGAGGAGTTTATGCATATGCAAAAGATTTAAAATATTTAAAGACCAAAACAGTAATAATGTCCAGAGATAGTCACGGCATTGGTATTTTTACCTTATATTGATGGCCACAATTCGAAACGAAAATTCTAGGCTGATTGATCGATATCTATTTTGTTGATGATCTAATTATCTCTTATATTTTAATGAACCAGTATATTTTAATGAACTAGTCTTTTTTTTACCTGGAGGCCCGCCACGTCGCATTCGTGTTATGCGTGAAATTTTTTTTTCAGTCTTTTCTTAATAGATGGTAAAAGGATAAATTAATTTGCGAAAAAAGCGAAAACATCGTGAATGAGTATTCGGAGCAGAATCGTCGTGATCGAGATAG